TCCAGGCCAGAATTGCAGGGTGGGGCCAGAGCCCAAGGCAGAGCTGCAATCCGCTCCCTGCATGTCCCTGTGGTGGGTTCTGGTTCCACGGGCAGCAAAGCATGCCCTACCCTTGGGGTCCCAGGCCGGTCTCCATGGACAGGTAGTAGTTGTTCAGCTCTTATTCAGAGGCCACTCCACAGGCCCCTGTTATAGAACACCCTGCCCGCCTGTTCCATTTAGTGACCTTGGCTGTAGGTGTGGGGCAGACGGGTCAGAGTGCCTGTGCATGCGGATCTGAGTCCAGCAGCAGATATACTGGCAGTGGCAGCCACAAGGGGAGGGGGAGAGCGAGCTGCTGGGAAGTAGAGTCTGGCTGCTACATTGCTTGGCCCTGCAGACTACAGCTACCCTGCCTGAGAGCTACATGCAGGGATAGGGCAGGCTGTGGTCCATGCTAGGCAGTACCTCCATGCCCAGGGCAGCAAGAGTGGCCACAGGCCAGATAGAATCACTTGGGCTGTATTTTGCCCACCTCTGGTTTAGATTAAGCATTAAATGCACTGGGGCCCAAGTAGTCATTGTCTTAAGGCAAAGAAGCATTGATATGTGACACATTGATGTGTTCCTGTTCAAGTACATGCCTTCTGTGGAATATCTTTGTAGTAGGGTCCCTCTTACCTCTCCACAACTTTCATGAGTACCTGCAAAAGCACTGCTTTCCAAAAGGACAGGCTCAGTAAAGAGCATGATTTATAAAATAGTAGGAAACAACAGAAGTACAACCATAAGAGGAGAGAGGATTTAAACAAAGGATCTCTTTCTCAAGCAGTACCTTGTGTCAGGGGGCCTGGGGAGTGGCCTTTGAATAAGAGCTGAACAGCCACTACCTGTCCAACTTCTGAGTGGTTGCACCTCATCACTGCCACCACCATGGGTTGTACTAGCCCTCTCCCAAGGAGGAGCAGATGGAAGTGGAGGCTGGAGAAGGGAGGAGGAGCCCATTAGGGGGTGGGGACAAGGGGCCAGTGGCGGCAGGCTGTAGCTGCTGGGAGGTAACGCCATGACTGTTGGCAAAGTGCAGGGGCCTTGGGATGTAAGGGCAGTGGGAGCTCACAGTCCACAAGCACTGTGGGCCACCGGTTGGATAGTGCTGCATTATTTTATCTTCCTTTCAGCTCCTTCCTTTTAGATTCGTGTCTTCTGTAAACGCATGCAGAGTTTTACGTGCTGATGATAGTCCTTTTCCATCCTGTCTGGAGAGAGAAGGTGTTCATTGTTTAAATGCTTAGCAAAACTTAATTTTGGGACAGTGTCAGAAAACATTTTTATAAGATTTTTTTTCTGACTTTATAATTCAGGCTGCTCTCTGCTAAAATGGGATAGTGTATATATACTGCTTACAATGAAGATTTTGCTTTTTTTTTTTTTTTTTTTTTCCTGTGACACAAAATGACTTCCAGAATGTATCTAATGCTTTTTTTAATTTCCTTTTAGCAAAGAATGGCACAAGAAGTCTTGACTCACTTAAAAGAACACCCTGATGCATGGACAAGAGTTGATACTATTTTGGAGTTCTCTCAGAATATGAACACCAAAGTAAGGACATGATCTTCCATTGACACTTTTTTCCTTCCCTTTCTTCCATTCATAAACTTTGAGGAAGGTATCTCATTTTTAGCATTAGTTTTTGTTGCTTCAAACCACACTTTTTTTGTTTTGTTTTGTTCCTAAAGTTGCCTTAAAGCTAAATTTACACTAAACAGGCCTAGTATTTTAAATCTCCCTTTACATTGACAGCTTTCTTAAGGAAGAACTAAATTAGGATTAAAGTACTTAAACATATGCAAGATTTGTGTTAAATTCTGAAGTGTGTGTGTGCAGATCCAAATATTGTAAAATCTCTTAAGAGCCATATTTTGTTCTTTAGTAAGTGGTTGGCTCTCATTGAACTTATTGGGAGCTATGTGCCCATAAGTGATACCAGCATTTTCCTAAGTATCTTGAAGACAAAGAATTGATCAAAGATTATTTTGGGCTGTCCGATCAATACAAGTTTGGTATCCTTAACACTCTGTAGCATTGGATACAATCTTTACTGGCTTGCAGAGCACACTTTAGTCTATGCAACTTTTAAGCACTTCCATCATGGTTGTGACTGGGGGACAGTACTCCTTTTTATATTTGCAATTCTACATGTATTATTTTAAGACCTTTAAAGTGTGACCTGGAAAGTTTGATCAAAATGTGTCATGACCTGTATTAAGTTCAATTCACACTTGAAACTACTAAAGGGGTTTTTATGCATGGTTTTCTGCTTGCTACACGCACAAGTGTTCAAACAGAAAATAGCCGTGTTCAGATTTATTTCTGAAATAGCTTGGTATTCACAAAACATTTCTAATACATACATACTTATTTTTAAAAATTACTTCGTAAATTTTAGAGGAGAAGAGCTTAAGAACTTCCTCAAAGTGCTAACCTTAAGTAACAGTGTTTGCCTGTTTGCTTGCCTGGTAAACTTTGCTTTTTATACTGACAGACGTTACTAATGTTTAAGTTGATTTATCAACAGTATTTTTAAAAACTCAAATTTGTCTTGTGAAAAATGAGATGATTAGAGGAACAGAAAGAAAGCAACAGGTAAAGAATTCTTCAATTTACATAAATTGCAAATGGTTTGGTGCTAAATTTATGCACTCTGACATTTGGCTTTTATGCAATCATATTTTTTCTTTAATTAAAGCTGTTAACACTACCTGATATTAATCATAATGTTCCATTATGTTGATTGCTTGTAATAGGAAGAAAAGGGGTGTCTTCCTGTGCAACTGACACAGCTAGGCTTTGACGGCAGGCCTCCACAAGGTCTACCCTTTTGATTCCCTTTAACTGAATTCTGTTCATCAATTGTTTTTTTGTTTCTTGGGAGGTGGGAGGGAAAGGGGATTCGGTGGATAGAATAAGTACTTAATAAGGATACCATAGAAATTTCTGCCATAGGGATCATTTCATGCATTTTTTTTCTTTCAGTCTTTGCTGTTATCTGTCCCTCACCTTCATAACTCAGCAGTGGATTTCTGCAGTACTTCTTGATTAGAATAAGATAAACCAGAAACTAAATGAATATTAGGAAAACATCTGCTTTTAATTTTACGTGCAGCATATTTGTATGTATACATGTTTATAAAACTCTGTTCATGGTAGCAATCCCATCTGTGTTCAGAATAGTATTTAGAACTCTGGACTGAACATAATTCCAGCTCTTGCATCTGGGAAATGCTTGAAAACATGGGCTGAAAGTTGATATGAGGTTTGAAGAAGATAATGTTCAATATAGGCATTGGCAGCCCTATACACCTGCATCAGAGGGTCTGTCAAAGTCCTCTAAGTCTAGAATGGTAAGGTGGGGATGGAATGAGAACAGTAATAGCATTCAGTTGATGTTTGTCTTTTTAACTGCTTTAAGTTCATGTACTAGTGGCAAAGCAAACTGAATTTTGTTAACTTCAGCTTTGCCTCTGCTTCTATATGGGAAAGGGTGGAAGAGAATGGAGGAGAAATTAGTGTACAGAAAAGATAGGGAGAATGGAGGCGCATGAAATGCAGATTTATGGTTAGATAGTTTGTGAACTAAGTTTGGCATTCTGATATTACAACATTATTTATTTGTTTGAGCTGCTTAAATAAAAATTGCCAATTTCAAAGCCAAATCATTTCAATTGTTTAAAATCCAACTTGGGAGTTGAGTTAGAATAATGACTAACCAAGACTTTTAAACATGTTGATAGCTTTAATTAATAGTGGTTTAGAACTCCTTTATTAAAGTATATTTGATATAAATATAGGTCCATGTAACATTCAGTTCCTTTTTTTTAATATTGATTTTGTTAGCTTGTATTAACCTGTAACAGACACATGCCATACCTGTAAAATTTAGGCACAAAAAGTGCTTTCTGTAAAACAAAGCATACTAGTTTAGAAACTGTATTCATGCAGATCATTCTCCCATATAAGTGTCTTCCCTGGTTTTGCTTACATTTTTTTTTCAATCTTAATTTTACAAATTTAAGAATAAAACCTAGGGGCTAAAAGCTTACTGCTGATTATGAGAGGAATGACATTTTCTGTAATTGCAGAATATTTCTTTGTATATAGTGCTTTAGAAGTCTAAAGATTTATTCTGCAAATGCAGAACTTTGAACTGGGGGAACAGCAGTAGAAAGGTGAAAAGTGTATGGAGGTAGATGCTGTCAAGATGAGAACAGCAAAAACATTCAAGTTTGAGTGCAATGTAGTTTGGGACAGTCTACATTGTGCTTGTGTTAACGTAAAGTTCATGTGATCCCTTTGGTTGAAATGTTAATGATCCTACTTTGCTTAACAACTAACCATTTTAAAGAGGAACTCTTATTCTCAGCCAAATTTTAGTCATACTATTTCATAAATACAAGTAAGTTTACCTTTCAGGCATTGGCACGATTTTCCTCCCTAAGCTACTGCTCATTAAAGAATTCAAATTCTTGTCCTTTTTCCCCTTCTGTCTGGTCATGTTTTGGAGTTGTTGGTTATGACAGTCTTGCCATGAGTGCTCATGTCATTACAAACATCTTTTCCATTTTTACAATAAGGCAGTAGGGGCAAATGGATAGAGTGAAATGGCTTTTTTAATTCAGTGTTTTTGCAAAATTCTATCAATTTTGTATCGGAGCCTAGGAAGGAATTCCTGAAAGGTAAAAGGACTTCAAAGTGCATGTTGAAATTTGTCATTCTCTTTTGACTGAGCACAAAAGTTAATCTTTAAATAGTAGAAATAGCTGCCATAATGGGGTGGGGATTGAAATTAAGTAAACCTGGGGTTGTCTTGCTGTTCCTTAAGTAACACACCAGTGAAGTTAGGGAAAACTTACTTTTTAGAAAGTGCCAGTTACAGTACATGTAATGCTAAGCCAAGATCTTTCAGTTTGCCATGGAGTAGTAGGAAGTCTGAGACCATCCAAGCTGCTAAATTTTTTTTTTTTTTTTAGGAGCTTGGTTGTGTTAATACTTGAACACTTGAGCAGTCATTTATGCTGTGAATTCATATCTGGCTGCTACTTTCTCTTCCACAGATAGCCGATTTGGCTGCCAAAGGGCTTTTTTTATTTGATTTCTCCTGGTGTGAGCATGATCAAACAGCAGGACTTAACTTAGAGTAGCAAATGATAAAGCCAGAAAAATGCATGAACATCTCAGTAAATGGGCGAATAGATATTTTTCTTATTTTAACTAAATTTGTTAGCTTAATATTTTTCAAATTTTAGATGTTAAGTGTGAATGTCTGATTGAATGAGAATCCTGAAAGTTCTTGTTGGTCCAACAACAACATACTCACATATTGTTCTTCTCCAATTTTCAGTATTATGGGCTGCAAATCTTGGAAAATGTGATTAAAACAAGATGGAAGATTCTTCCAAGGAACCAGTGTGAAGGTAGGGAAGCTCTTCTTACATCTTTGCTTATTTTAAAATAGGTTTACAAGATGGGTGCACAATGTGAACTCTGTGGCCCACTGGCAAGATGCACTTTCCAATAGCGGGCTGCCACTAGTGAGGTCTTCTCCAAGCTGTAATTCATTCTGTTTGCAAGTGGGAAACTAGACTGCATCTGCAGGTACATGCACAGATTAGTGAATCATTGCACAGTGCAGACACCTGACTGCATTGCTTCTCAAATCTTTTTTATATTTAATAAGTCCTTGTTAAGTACACCAGTGTGATAGTCCTGGTAGGCTTCATCTGACCTGTCAGCTGTATGCATACCTTGTTCAGAACCTTCAGTGGGTCGTGTAAATAACCTGAAAATTCAAATACAGTTTTTATTACATGAAGTAGAAAATATACTCCAACAGTTGATTTTGTTCTGTAACCACATAATCGGCAAGGATATTGAAAATCCAGTGACTTGAATTACTCTGTTGGAATTCACTAATTCTGAAAATCATGCCACGTGCATCTCCACTGACTACTTCTGGACATCTTAATTATAGGTTGTGTTGGTCATTTTATTCCAAATGAAATAAATAGTTTTAAGGGGCATTTGTATTTAAGAGACATTGTTCTAGACAGATGGATACTACAGAGCCTCTTTTAACTTGAGTAAAAGATGTCCAATTTAAGATTTGTAATGGGGCAGACACTTAATTTATTTTCTCTTTTTGAACTTGTTGACCAGGCCTCATTTTTCCCCACCATGTCATCACAAACATCTTTTCCATTTTTACAGTGAGTAGGCAGTAGGGACAAGTGGCTAGAGTGAAATAGCTTTTTTAATTCAACGTTTTTGCAAAATCGTGTCAATTTTGTATCAGAGCTTAGAAAAGAATTCCTGAAAGGTAAAAGGATTTCAGAGTGCATATCGAAATTGTCATTCTCTTTGAGCACAAACATTCATCTGCCGTAATGGGGTGGGGACTGAAATTTAGTAAACCTGGGGTTGTCTTGCTGTTCCTCAAGTACCACATCAGTGAAGTTAGGGAAAACTTACTCTTAGCAAGTGCCAGTCACAATACATGTAATGCTAAGCCAAGATCTTTCAGCTTGCAGAGGAGTAGTAGGAAGTCTTGAGACCATTCAAGCTGCTAAAAAAAAAAAAAAAAAAAAAAAAAAAAAGAGCCTGGTTGTATATACTTCAACAACTTAAGCAGTCATTTTGCCTCTCCCCCACTTAGTTTGCAACACATTTTAAACAAACTACAGTAGTTGTTGTAATTTATACTATTTGGTAAAGTGGAGATCATTACT